AAACAAAGAAATTTTCATCGTCCGAAATTTGCTATATTTATTCAAAAGACTATTCTAACGATATCCTATTAGTAGGCAAGCATATTAAATAATATTAAATATATCATTACAAAGAAATAATAAAATTTCTATTAATTTTGGCAATAAATAATTAAAGAAATAATCAAAGAATCAAATTCTTATAATTCTAAAGTGCATATTTTGTAGCGTATAACAATTTTAGGCAAAATGCAGCATTACCGCTGCAACCAAAACAAGGCTAACCAGAAGGTTGAAGCTAGTGAAGCTCGTTTTAGCTCTAAAAAACATAAAGAATAGCAAAAAATAGGTTATTTATATACATTAAAATTTGTACCGAGTCATTAAAAATACTTACGAAGCAGCATTTTTGGTATTAGTTGAAGGGCCAGGAGAGCCAGTTGGCTTACTTGATGCAGCAGACGCACTAGCTTGAACTTGTTGAGGGCTCAAGACATCGAATTGTGGTGAGAGTTTATTACTAACTCCATCATTAAGTGCAAACCAAAACGTGCCCAAATTAGTAGTCTTCCACGTGTAATTTAGAGCAGTGAGTTGTAATTGTCCGGTAATTAGTGTTGAGGCTTTAGTTGAGTTGTCAACAACGCTTAAGTTTCCTACGGTCACATTTCCTGCGTTATATACCCACTTAATTGTAATATCAGAACCAATTAAAACACTTGTACTAGATAACTTGAGCGAAGAAACCTCTGAAAATATAAATGTAATGTTAGTTTCATCACTTAATAAAAAATAGAAATTTTCTACCATCATATAATTATAATTAAGTAACTAGATAAGCGAATAACATCCCTAGATGGTATTTGGCTTATCAAATTAATTCTAAATGGAACATAAAAAAAGTGAATTAACTCACGAGCTGATGCAAAACCAATAAAAGCAAAGAGTAGCGTAAGAAAAATAAGCCGAGACATATTGTTTAAATTATTTAATTTCGTGACAAGTAATGAATCAGAAGAGGACTTCTTATTTCTGGGAGAGTGTCTACCGAGATGTTTATATACTGTATTAAAATTTAAAAGTTACTGTAACCGTAAATAATATTTATTATATGAAAGACTTGTGCAATTATGGTGTAATTATTGTTTAGGGGGGGGGGGGACGAACGCACTTTACTCTTGGCGTTTATTTTCAATATTTACGTGTATCTTTGATAAATTTTACTATGTCATTACCGTTGTTTGTCCACAAATGGTTATTTGTGATCATGTTAGCAAACTATGTATTAATTATAGTTTATGTTAATTCATTTTACGTAACAATTTATGATAATGGTGCGTACGTACGATGTTACGGTGTAACGGTAGGGGACAAAATTCACTTTTTTTACAACTATCCAAATCCAAAAAGGTTATTCCACAACATAAAACACCCCTACATGCTGTACGTTGTGAAAGGCTCCATTACCCCTATCAACCCAGTTTCTTTTCTTTTCTTCTTATTTTACCTCTGGTTATTA